GTCGAGAGCGCGAAAGCACATAAATATAATGCGCAGGCGCGAATCTCTCCGCTCGCACGCGGATTTCCTTTGCTCTCGCACAAAACCAGATACACGCTGCTCTCGCCCAGAGAGAGTGCGCACACTTAAAACAGTCTCTCCTCTCGCTCAAACTGTGTCCTACTATATTATATTCTATGTAACTGTCATATAACTGTATATTCACTGTATTAGAGGAGAGTGCCATTGAATGTGTAGCTAATATGAAGTGGGTTTTCATGAAAAAAAATCTAACTAAAATCAGAACTGAAAACAAACACTGGATTAACAAACAAAAAACTCCCAATAAATGTCCAAACAGCGATGCTATCAGAACATTTATTGTGAACATATCTTGCATCATTTACATCTATTTTTGCAGTTGATGTTGATTTGATAGGAATTGTTACTTATTATTGCCATCATACCAACTGAGAATTTATTGCAATTATTTTAAATTCAGTTTAGGTATCTGACATATCATGACATAACATTGATCTTTTATATGAAGTCTTTAGAGCCATAGACATATGTTGTTTTTATAAATATATGTTGTTATTGATAAATTGCTCAGACCAACCAGGACAGAGGTTATATGCACAAATCATCCAAGCACCCAATTCCTAGCCATTTCTAATATAGGCTACATCTCATTAACATTGCTAAATATTATTAAACTGGAAAGAAATAAAAGATCCTTCTTTGATTGTCAAAAGAATTCCGGGTTCACTTCCCTCCCAGCCAATTAGATTTCAGCATTTGGTCTGATTGGTTAAAGCTTTATTTATATAGCACCTTTTAACAGTCTTTACAATGTACTTTACAGAGAGATGCATATGTGCATTCACAGAAAAGAACAAACATAAAAGAGATAAAGTGGGCCTAGTAAAACAAAGTACAATAACCAGTTTATATATAGTTTAAATACAACAATAAAAAAAACAAGGAAAGGCCCTGAACAAATCTGTTTTGAGACTACTTTTTAAAAGGTACTTTACAGAGAGATGCATATGTGCATTCACAGAAAAGAACAAACATAAAAGAGATAAAGTGGGCCTAGTAAAACAAAGTACAATAACCAGTTTATATATAGTTTAAATACAACAATAAAAAAATCAAGGAAAGGCCCTGAACAAATCTGTTTTGAGACTACTTTTTAAAAGAGCATAATAACTTTTGACAACATTTAATTCAGGTGCGAAAAGAATTAATATATGCATGAGCATAGAGAGATTTGCGAGAGCACAGGATCAGGGGCGGATCTACCCCACCTGCCACCCCAGAATTATCACAGAATAAAATATAAATGTAAACAGTGTTTCATGTGCTACTTTTCAGCTGCGGCGATGACAGCGTAAAGCAAAATAATGGCAAAAACACGTCTTTTAATAAACTGTCTGTGCACGATGGTTGCACGCGCACACAGCGTGCCAGTGTAGTCGGCTTCATTATCAAATGACTTATTAACCGGTTCTTTTTGAGTCAAAACCACAAAGCGCGGCCCAGTTCACTAACGAATTGTTTTTACATTTGTTCGTGAATCAGATAATTACTGCTTCTCAGCTAACTCAGAAGTCCTCTGAGAAATCTAATCCCGTCCGGATATGTCTGAGATTCATCGCGTAATTGTTTGGTGATCCGATCCTCCGACCGCTCGCTCCACTTTCATCATGGATATAAGCCGTGACAATAACATGAGATCAATAAGATGCCGATCACGGAAACTAATTGCAGAGTTAGGTAAGAATCTAGTCGTATTGCAGTTTTCTCGATTGTTAATATAACTGATTTTAGTTGGCACCCCCCCCCCAAAAAAAAAAAACTTTCATTCAGTTTTCAAAACAAAGACACATTTCTAAAAAGGTTAAACAATGAGTAGCCTAAAAGCTGATGACACACCAATCAGAATCTCTGCATCCTAACAACGGAGAGAGGAGAGAGCTGAACCAATCATCTACAGGGTTTTTATACTTACACATACAGTATAATTACAGTACAGTACCAGTACATTAGATAATGGAAATTTCACTATTCTATATGCACAGTAAACTGTAGCACATGTTGTACACCTTCAAGCGTGTGACTGTCAAATTTTATTTGTAACAATTTTTTATGTGTACTGCATTTTAGCAGAACTGAGAAATGACTGCCTAGAGATATAGCTAGTCTTGTGTCAGGAGACCAAGAAACTGCTATAGTAGTGTATCCTGTAATGAAATTTGGCCAAATGTGCAGAGGATGCTAAATTTGCTTTTTTAATTTTATTTTTAGTGTACTGTTTTGTGGTGCAAGCCAAGTTCATACAGTTTGAACTTTTCTAGTGCTTTTCATCCACTGCAAGAATACTTTAAAATAGTAAAATGAAAATGATTTTTCCTAGAAGTTCATTGCTGAATTATACATCTGTATCTGTAATTTAATTTATGTATACTGTACTAGACATTGAGCTGCAAAAATAATTCCTGAATCCTAGTAAGAGTTTTTTGTTGATATTTTGAACGCAGTGCTTCATTTTGCACGAGATGTGAGGCATTTTGCATTTTGTGTGTAAAGTGTTTTTTTTGGCACATTTTTGAAAATGTAAGCAGTTAAAAAAAAAACCTGTAAGAAAAACTGTAATAACTAGATTGAAAAGTTTGAAAGACAAATGTATGCTGGCTTGTCTTAAAGTCTTGTTTAAAACACGTAAATGGCTTGGTCAGTTAGATGTTTGCTGAAGTGTTGCTAGTTGGTTGCTAGGATGTTCTGGGTGGTTGCTAGGCTCTTGCTATGCAGTTGCTGGGGTGTTGCTAGAGTATATGGGTGATAGAGTTTGTTCTGGGTGATTACAGACATTCCCTGATAGCAACAGACTCCGGGGCTCCGCTGTACTGTCAGACTCTGTTCGGTCATTCGCCCAGAATCTGCCCCGCCTCCGGACAGCGCGCTGTCAGTTAGCGGACTCATGATGGACACGGCGCGGATTAGCATCGAAGCGGTTTTATTTGTTTTTAACCGGTGCGTCTCAGAAATCCTCCTCAGAGTGGAGAAGCTGCGGCCGGCCAGGTTGAAGAAGACTGAACTCGGTAAGAATACTTTTAAAATATGCTTTATTTGTACAGTTGCCAGTAACATTAAACACAATTCTCTATGTAACACACAAAAATCTAACAGGAATTGATATTATGGCAAAGATGTTTGCAAATGTTTGCTTTTGAGATGTGTTTGTGATATTTTGAACGCAGTGCTTCATTTTGCACGAGATGTGAGGCATTTTGCATTTTGTGTGTAAAGTGTTTTTTTTGGCACATTTTTGAAAATGTAAGCAGTTAAAAAAAAAACCTGTAAGAAAAACTGTAATAACTAGATTGAAAAGTTTGAAAGACAAATGTATGCTGGCTTGTCTTAAAGTCTTGTTTAAAACACGTAAATGGCTTGGTCAGTTAGATGTTTGCTGAAGTGTTGCTAGTTGGTTGCTAGGATGTTCTGGGTGGTTGCTAGGCTCTTGCTATGCAGTTGCTGGGGTGTTGCTAGAGTATATGGGTGATAGAGTTTGTTCTGGGTGATTACAGACATTCCCTGATAGCAACAGACTCCGGGGCTCCGCTGTACTGTCAGACTCTGTTCGGTCATTCGCCCAGAATCTGCCCCGCCTCCGGACAGCGCGCTGTCAGCTAGCGGACTCATGATGGACACGGCGCGGATTAGCGATCCGAACACGGGTTTTTTTGTTTTGTTTTTAACCGGTGCGTCTCAGAAATCCTCCTCAGAGTGCAGAAGCTGCGGCCGGCCAGGTTGAAGAAGACTGAACTCGGTAAGAATACTTTTCAAATATGCTTTATTTGTACAGTTGCCAGTAACATTAATGTTAATAAAGTTGTTAACTGCTTTGTTGTAGTTTTGAATTTTTGAAATTGCGTTGTGGAATATCCAGTTAAGGTTAGCTCTTCAGCATTATTAGCATTATCATAGATTTGAGTACGTTAATAATAGGCCTATTTGGATGGGATCCGGATTTTAATCGTATATGTAACGTTTAGGTAATTTTTCACCCCTCTTCAGGAATAACTGCAGGCGAGAATAAACTCTTTTTTTTTATTTAAATGTGGTTCTAGAATATTAGTTCAAGTCTATTTTTATTTATATTTCGACAAATATATCCCCCAGCTCTCCTCGTAATGTTGTTTTAGTACATATGAAATAAACTAGCGGACTCATTCCGGAGGCTGGGCGGATTCTTCTAGCAGTCGCGTCTCTGAACTCAGATCAGATCAGATCCTCCTCAGAGTGCTGAAGCTGTGGCCGGCTGAACTCGGCAAGAACACTGTTTAAATATGCTTATATGTACAGTTGCCAGTAACATTACGGTTAATAAAGTAGTTAATCGCTTTGTTGGCATTTTTAATTGTGAAAATGCGTTGTGGAACGTTAGCTCTTCAGCACATTAGCATTATTGTAGATCTGAGTAAAGTTAATATCAGGCCTATTTAGACGGGATCTCCTTCTTTCTGTGAGACGCGGTAACAGTTAGTCCTGAGTGTATATGTAACGTTAGGTAATTTTTCACAACTGATCCAGATTCTGTGCTTTGATATTATTGTATGTCTTTCTAATGTTAGGAAATTCAAAAGTTTTTGTTGCTCTTAAACTTGCACTAAACGTGATTGTATGTCACGTTTGTCTTCTTTAGTGACACAAGCTCAGAAATATTTATTACCTGTTGATGTTTTTTAACTTGTGTATTCACTTGGTGCCATGATGGATATTGAAATGTTGTTATTTTATTTTTCATTTATAGATGATTACTTAATAGTAATACAATATTTGCGAACACAACTGTGTATGTCAGACCATAAATCCCCCAAAACTATGCATGGGGGCTTGCTTTGGTGCTGCGAGAGTGTATCTGAGCTCGCGCGTCCGGTTTTGTGAGAGAGGAAAGGAAATCCGCGTGCGAGCGGAGAGATTCGCGCCTGCGCATTGTATCTATGTGCGTTCGCGCTACAATAATGTGCTCTCGACATTAGTCATTAAAATATCGCCATAAAGCTGTGCCTCCTGTGTTGTGGACAGAGCAGCAGCGCAATGCGGAGATGAAGGCGCTTCGCTGCTTCTGCTTCTGCTTCTGTTCTCTGCTTCTGCTGAAAGTGTCCGCGGGTGAGTTCATCATGATCCGTCTGAGCTCCTCTGACACCGCCATGTGTGCCTCTGTACTGACAGCCTCGCACGCTTCTGTTTACATTGGAACTACTTTTAATCGTTGTTTGGGGTTTCATCTGTCACAGAAAGCTTTTACTCTTTCAGTAGGTTTAAAGTGCCCCTATTATGGATTTTTGAAAATGAGCTTTCATGCAGTGTGTATAACACAGCTCTAAGTGAGTGAAAACATCCTGCAAAGTTTTAAACCGTGTATAACTTTATTTTCTCTCAAAAGAAAGAGTCGACTCTGAATCATTGAAACTAACGTTAATCATTTTGAAAACGAATCCCAAGCCTTTTCATGTTGAAGTCAACATGAAACATTAGCACATCTTCGGCCCACTTGTTGGTCTTTTCGTGTTGGGCTGAATGAAAATGCTAATTAATTCTTTGCCACTAGGTGCCGCTTTTGGAGCGGTAAAAATATCTGTTTCCCCGGTAACACTGAACACAAAGCAGCACTGCTTTATCAGGTGTTACAGGCGTGATGACATTAAAATGAGACCAATCGGACCAATCACTGCAGATTAGCGTCACGCAAAGGAGGGGTTTGGATAAATGAATCGTGGAGCGAATTCGTTTGGGAGTCGTTGAGCAAGTAAGGTAAAAATAAATGCATATTATAAGACAAGGAAAATGTTTTTTTGACCTTGCATGCATGTCAACCCATTGTTGGGGACTCCCAAAACCAAAATATGAACCTTTCATTAACCATAATAGGGGCATTTTAACTTCGCGACTATAAAACAAGTAGCCTATGTTCTATATCCACCTTTATCCTAACGTGTCTGAGATGCTTTGGTTGCTATGATCCATGACAGTAACGTATTAGTAGTATCTCATTTTAAAGAATATTACTGAATATAAAAATGAAGTAACCAGCCAAATTAACTTCTATTGTCATTCGGTCGTTGTACAAGTAGGATGGTTGGTTGGTGTAGTATAATAAGTGACAGTTGTACAGTTACAAAAAAAAAAAAGACAATGCAAACAAACTTGTGAAATATTATTATGGTAGTGCATCAAAATCCAGTGTCATCAGTTTGACAAAAAGAACAGAATGTTTTACACACCATTTACACGTGGCAGGGAGCTGGTGTACATTTCTTTCTTACCAACCAACATTTTGAAGATACGAACATTTTCATGAATTCGAAAATTTACGTCAGAACGGCTTTATAAACTATTTACACAAATATTCCTTCTGCTCGTGTTTCATGAATGAGGCCCAATATTTTTCAAAATGACATAAATCACTGAAATATTATCACTCAGTGTTATTGTTAATGAACATGTTGCATAATACCGACACATATTCTTACAATAATATTGAACACATCTGTAATATTGCTGTGAAAATAACCAAGCTTAGACCATCAGAGGAACTGAAAGAGTTTCTCAGCTGTGCTCAAGACTTCTCTTGGTCCTCCCTAAAGCAGCATCACTTCTGAGACTCGAACCCTTCCCATTACAAAGTTTAAACCCTGAGCAGTCTGGATCTTTACAGCCTCCGTCTAAGGAACAAGATGTTTCTATATGAACATGTGTCTTCAGATGTGCTCTAGAGATGGGTGTTTGTTTCAGGGAGCTGTCCGGTCTTCCTGAGCTGAGATGCTGAGCTAAAACCAGAATGTGTTGTGGCACGACACACAGACAGCTACTGTGGTTAAACACAGTCAACATAAAAATAAAAATGATCCTGCAAGCTTTAATCACTTCATGTAGACTGGCATATTACAGAGATTAAAACACTGCAGTTATGCATTTAAGGAATCTGTGTGACAAATTTAAGAATCTGTAACTGTAAATGTGCTTTTGTTACATTTACGAATGCACTCCGTTGCTCTTGTTTTAAACTTCTCTGTCTTTTCTTGAATGCATGCAGTATTTCACACTAAATGACATCCATGAGATCATAAGTGAAAGTGTAATCAGGTTTAGGACTGTGTGATTACATCAGTGAAGCTGTCAGCCCTGCACATTGTCTGACCACTGCTGGTTATGAAGACGAGTCTGGAGAGCTGTGGAGCAGAATACAGTTACAATGCTCAAACCTGCAGAAACAGAAACTTTGTGTGTGTGTGTGTGTGTGTGTGTGTGTGTCTGGCAGGATTCGGAGATCTGAGGCGTCCTGAGAACGTCAGCGTCGACTCGCTCAACACCCGTTATGTGTTGCGGTGGGACTGGCCTCATGAGACCGCCGCCAACCAGACTGTCACCTTCACTGCGCAGTATCTAGAGTAAGAGCCTTCATACGTGATTGCTTCATGCACGTGACACGTGTGTCCATGCTTATTTGGGTTTGTGACTGAATCAGCTATTCAAAGTGAAGAAACAGGTCATAAGACATCACAAACACTGTAATAGATAGTTTGAGGAGATTTAGGCCAAGGATATGATCACGTTCTAATGTGTGACACATTATAGTTAAAACAGTCCATCTAACTGTGTAGATGCTTCTTAAGGTCAGGTTTATTTTTCATCTCAAAATACTAAGGAAAATATCTGCTAAATTATATTTAGCATAAAGAAAATTAGGCCTACACATTTTTGGAATGTCAACAGTCTTTTCCTCCAAATTTCTGATTATAGCATTTTGTCCAGATGTTTTGTTTTTATTCTCACTGTTACTGTAATGCAGAAATGAGTGAAGGAAAATCGGCATAAATGAAAGACAGTACAACGAATACTACCAAGAGCATTATTGTTATAGTAATCTATATAATTTTTGCATTACAGCTGTAAGAAATGAGGGAGAAATGTGTTTAAATGTGTTTAGGCTTTATTAAGCCTTTAAACCCAAGGTGTCCGCACAAAAAAAAAAAACATAATCAAATTACTAAGCACTCCCTGAATGGAATAACATGAAATAGGTATAATTTTAAAGCTTAGAATCTCAGCTTTTTAATTCATTATTTTGATCAACTCTTAACGAGCGCTGAGCAGTCCTCCTAAACCGGAGTGTACCCCGGGTGGGATGCCCCGTCCCCCTCCGCGAAAACATTACTACTAATATATCTAATATATCAAAAACATAATCCAGCTCAGATAGTCATGTGTCGTATTGAAAGGACTCAAGTAGAATAAAACAAGCATAATTGTTTGGGGCTTTAACTAAACTTGAGCGAATTTTTGTGCAAGTCACCCCCAGATCCATATGAAAATAATATACTGATGTCACCATATTGTTTGTAACTTCATAAAACATGCTCAGATCGTGGAAAAATACCATTATTAAGATTCTCTCGATTAAAAAGAGCCCAAACTCAGTATAATCCGTCACTTATATCTGAAGATATTATTCATAAATTTATAACACACATAAAACTGCACAGGCGGCATATGTAGCTTAGCAAATATCTAAGGTAGCTGTCATGTGGCGATTTCGCTCATAACTTCCTAAAACATGCATATATCATAAAAATGGCATGTCATTATTAGCAGAAAATTCTCCCAATTAAAAAGAGCCCAGGTATACCATAATCCGTCGATTAGATTGAAAGATATTCCTCATAGAGCTATAACACATAAAAAAGAATTAGGACATGTAGCTTAGCAAAAAAATCTGAGGTTGCAGTCCTGAGGCATTTTAGCTCGTAACTTCATGACACATGCATAGATCATGACAAATCACATTATTTGCAGAAAATTATCTTGATTAAAAAGAGCTCAAATATACCATAATCCGTCAATTAGATCGAAAGATATTCCTCATAGAGCTGTAACACATCAAACCAGACAGGCGCAACAAAGAAAAACAACTCTATGCTTCACGTTACATTTTTATTTGTAACTTCATGATATATGCATAGATCGTGGAAAATTGCATGGTATTATTTTCAGAAAATTCTCCCGATTATATATTCTCCCGTCATAATCTGTCGATGAGATCCAGAGATATTGCTCATAGCTATAACACATAAAACCCAACGGGCACACTTGAGGCGCAGCAGAAGAAACAACTGTACATTTCACTTTGCGCTTTTGTTCGTAACTTCATGAAACATGCATAGATCATGGAAAATGGCATGACATGACACTTTTCAAAAAATTCTCCCGATTAAAATGAGCCCACTCTTACTAAATCTGTCATTTAGATGTAAAGATATTCCTCCGTTATAACACGTAAAACCCCAAAGGCGCATGTTATAACTTTCTCATAGTTTTTATGCTTGTCATTTCATGAAACATGCTCCGATCGTGGAAAATGGTACATCATTATTTATAGCAAATTCTCGTGATTGAAATTAGTCCAGAATCAAAACAATCCATTGCATCTTTTGTGTGTAAATAATACCTAAACCCATGAATTGAATAAATCAGTTGGATACTGTAACTTTTGGATACTTTGTTATATTTACTGTGTTCGATGAAGGAGACAGCACTGGGGCTCCAGGAACAGGCTCGGGAAGCACTGCTTTACTGACAGATCAAGTGCACTCACGTCGTCCTTTCCTCCAACAGGGAGTTTCGGTCCCGGAAGGCCAGTAATGAGAAGTACTGGACATCGGTGTGTGTCAATGTTTTGGAGCATCGCTGTGATTTCACTGGAGCTGAACTGCATTACAATGACTTATATCTGCTGCGTGTGTGGGCCAACACGTCTCAGCAGTCCTCCGGCTGGGTCCAGATCAGATTCTGTCCTGATAAACACGGTGATCCAGCTGTCTGTCAGTAGTCTTGTCAGTCTGCCAGTCTGTCTGTCTGTCAGTAGTCTGTCTGTCTTTCTGTCTGTCTGTCTGTCTATCTGTCAGTAGTCTGTCTGTCTGTCAGTGGTCTGTCTCTGTCTGTCTGTCTGTCTGTCTGTCAGTAGTCTGTCAGTCTGTCTGTCTGTCAGTAGTCTGTCAGTCTGTCCATCTGTCTGTCAGTAGTCTGTCTGTCAGTCTATCTGTCTGTGTCAGTCTCTCTGTCTGTCAGTATGTCTGTCTGTCTGTCAGTAGTCTGTCTGTCTGTTAGTTGTATGTCTGTCTGTCTGTTAGTTGTATGTCTGTCTGTGTTAGTTTTCTGTCTGTCTGTCTGTTAGTTTTCTGTCTGTCTGTCAGTAGTCTGTCTGTCAGTCTCTGTCAGTAGTCTTGTCTGTCTGTCTGTCTGTTAGTTTTCTGTCTGTCTGTCAGTAGTCTGTCTGTCAGTCTCTGTCAGTAGTCTTGTCTGTCTGTCTGTCTGTTAGTTTTCTGTCTGTCTGTCAGTAGTCTGTCTGTCAGTCTCTGTCAGTAGTCTTGTCTGTCTGTCTGTCTGTTAGTTTTCTGTCTGTCTGTCAGTAGTCTGTCTGTCAGTCTCTGTCAGTAGTCTTGTCTGTCTGTCTGTCTGTTAGTTTTCTGTCTGTCTGTCAGTAGTCTGTCAGTCAGTCTCTCGGTCAGTAGTCTGTCTGTCAGTCTCTCTGTTAGTAGTCTGTCTGTCAGTCTCTGTCAGTAGTCTGTCTGTCTTGTCTGTTAGTTTTCTGTCTGTCTGTCAGTAGTCTGTCTGTCTATCAGTCTCTTTGTCTGTAGTCTGTCTGTCAGTCTCTCTGTTAGTAGTCTGTCTGTCTGTCAGTAGTCTGTCTGTGTCAGTAGTCTGTCTGTCAGTTTTTTGTCTGTCAGTAGTCTGTCTGTTAGGGTTAGTTTTCTGTCTGTCTCTCTCAGTAGTCTGTCAGTAGACTCTGTCATTTGTCTGTCTGTCAGTAGTCTGTCTGTCTGTCAGTAGTCTGTCTGTCAGTCAGTAGTCTGTCTGTCTTTCTGTCTGTATCTGTCTGTCAGTAGTCTGTCTTTCTGTCTGTCTATCTGTCAGTAGTCTGTCTGTCTGTCAGTAGTAGGGCTGTCACGATTATGAAATTTGGCTGACGATTAATTGTCTAATTGTCACGTTTATTGCGATGAATTGTCTGTTTTAGGGCTTTGGCGATTATGATGATTATGCCGATTATCACGATGAATTGTCTGTTTTTACGGCTTTCATTATATAATTGTGATTAATTGAAAGGAATCATTAAATAATTATGATGTTATCTTTTAATCTTTTTGAGTTATTATTTTGTAGTGTAAGATTACATAAGATTATTCCAAATTCTAAGAATTCGCCAATACCGATCCAACACCAGCGCTATTTTTTTGTACACCACTACAGAATATCACTACGGTGTTTGTGGAACTAATGGTCACTCTTTTTTAAACCCTTTGTTAAACGCAATCCACTAAATACTCTCATAAGTGCTGCAATTTCTGTTGCATATGAGAAACGGCAAACGAAACTGAAAGCATATTGAAACACCACTTAGAGAGTATACTCGCCGCGTCAGCACGAGCGCGAAGGTGCGTGCAGCAAAAATGACGCGCATATTGAGGAAACGATGGCTGGTTTTCAAGCAAAAGTGAAGTAAAAGACCGCTTCTTAAACCAAAGAAGGTGAACATGCTGGTATTCTTGTGGGGGAAAAAAAACATGCAAGCACTGTCACCGTTAGTTTTACTTTTATTTTTGTTTTAATTTTTGAAAAACCTATCTTTGCTGTTTACCTCACATTACGCTATGGAGCCTCTCTTTTATTTATTTATTTATTTGATTCCACAGTGTTTGATAAACGTTCTGTAAATTATTAGTCAGTATATAATACAGCATGTGGTGTGTGCCATGCCTCATCTTATTCTTTTTTGTTAATAAACGTTTTGTAAGCTAGTGTATCATTGTATCTTACTGATTTATTGTTGTTGTGCTTTTTAATTAAACTATAAACAATGATAAAAGTTAATCAGCATGCATTGAATAATCCCATGTTTAGCGCAAAAAAACAAAAAACAAATATTGCGACCAAATCATGTGCTCGTGCGACCAGCTGAGAAAGTTAGTTGCAAAAGAGCTACCAGTGGGAAGAATGAGTCTGGAGCACTGTATAGGCTATACAGTGCATGAAAAGCAAACTGGTACTTTTCTGTTTCTTTTGGTGTATGACTCCCCCTTGTGTCGTATAAAAAGCACAATAATCGCGGTTGTCTGAAACAACCGTGGTTAGATCAAATAATCGCGATTAGACGGTTATTTAATTATCGCGACAGGCCTAGTCAGTAGTCTGTCTGTCAGTGGTCTGTCTCTGTCTGTCTGTCAGTATTCTGTCTGTCAGTCTGTCTGTCAGTCTCTCTGTCTGTCTCTCTGTCAGTAGTCTGTCTGTCAGTCTATCTGTCTGTGTCAGTCTGTCTGTCTGTCAGTATGTCTGTCTGTCAGTCCATCTGTCTGTCTGTTAGTTGTCTGTCTGTCTGTTAGTTTTCTGTCTGTCTGTCAGTCTCTCTGTCAGTAGTCTGTCTGCTAGTTTTCTGTCTGTTTGTCAGTAGTCTGTCTGTCAGTCTCTCTGTTAGTAGTCTGTCTGTCTGTCAGTAGTCTGTCTATCAGTCTCTGTCAGTAGTCTGTCTGTCAGTCTGTCTTGTCTCTTAGTTTTCTGTCTGTCTGTCAGTAGTCTACCTGTCAGTCTCTCTGTCAGTAGTCTGTCTGTCAGTTTCTCTGTTAGTAGTCTGTCTGTCTGTCAGTAGTCTGTCTATCTGTTAGTTTTCTGTCTGTCTGTCAGTAGTCTGTCTGTTAGGGTTAGGTTAGGGTTAGTTTTCTGTCTGTCAGTAGTCTGTCTGTCTGTCAGTAGGCCCTCTGTCAGTTGTCTGTCTGTCAGTAGTCTGGCTGTCTGTCAGTCTCTCTGTCAGTAGTCTCTCTGTCTGTCAGTCTCTCTGTCAGTAGTCTGTCTGTCTGTCTGTCAGTCAGTCAGTCAGTCAGTCAGTCAGTCAGTCAGTCAGTCAGTCAGTCAGTCTGTCTGTCTGTCTGTCTGTCTGTCTGTCTGTCTGTCAGTCTGTCTGTCAGTATTCTGTCTGTCAGTCTGTTAGTTTTCTGTCTGTGTGTCAGTTGTCTGTCTGTCTGTCTGTTCCTGGCACTGGCGTTTGATTCTGCTATGCTGACCCCAGCTCTTTTCTTCTGCTCTCAGCTGCTTTAGGTCCTCCCTCCAGCTTGAAGCTGAGCTCGATTAAAGGAGATCTAGAGATCATCATCACCGACCCTCTGAGCAGCACTAACCAGTCCATGAAAACTTTGCTGAACGACAGGTTGAGCTACCTCATCCAGTACTGGAGGCGCTCTGAAGAGCCTCAGGTATCTGTGCACACTCACACCAAAAGCTCTCATATGGGTTTCAGCAGCAGCTGCATGTGGATACTGTCTGAATGTGGCGTCTGCTGAGGACAAGCTGTGAACACAAAGCACTTCAAGTCATCTTCAGTTTCAATCTCAGAAATGCTGCTAAGTAGCTTGACCACATCCTGTAGAAAGATGGTGGTTTCTGATCTCAAACCAGATTCGTTCCTCTCAAAATGTTTATAGTTAAAACTATTGTCACACACACTGGGCTCCAATAGTCTGTGAACATGTGGGAACTATTCATTTTTTTTTAGTTTTAAATAAACTTTTGGGACTTTGAATAATGTAAAGCAAAGAAGAAATAGTTTCTTAATATTACATTTAACTACTTAAATTGTAGTTGTATTTTTGTTTACTCATAATAATAGGTATAATGATAATCATTATTATTTAGATATTCACCCATTTCAGTAAGTGTGTATAAAGTAAATGAAGTGTCGGGCTTCTCACAGCACACTGAGAGGTGAACTCTCACACTAGTCTGCAGGTTTGTGTTTCACCGGTGCTGTGTGAAGGGTGATTGTAGCATAGCAGCATAAATAGACACTGATACTGCTCATCAAATGATGCTTAATCATCAGAGAGTTTGAGTGTTTCCCCATCACACGGGTGAATGGTTTCAAAACAAAGTATGTTCACATCAGTTAAAGTGTATGCTGATCAACATTCTTAATCTAGGCTGAAATATTAAGTGCATTGAAAGTATAGCCTAGTTCATTTGTTATTTCAGAATACCTGATGCGTTCAGTCGTGTTAACGGACCTTCTTATTTTACGGCCATGACTGGTGTGTTTTCAATGCAGCATTACTGTATAGATGGCACTGCTGAGTGACATCATTTCCTGCTCTGACTGTCCCTGCAGAAGGCTAAAGTCCTGGAGACGAAGAACAATCTGGTGATGCTGACTGAGCTGGACAGACAGACGTGGTACTGCGTGAGAGTTCAGAGCTGTGATGGCTCCCATAACAAGAGCAGCGTCTTCAGCGACACACACTGCACACGCACTGAAGGTCAGCAGCTCCGTCACACACACACACAAGTCAATCATGCCAGATTGAAGAAAAATGTGTAACGCAGCCACAGAAAGAAAAAACAGTGACGCAACTTAACCTCAAATATCTGGCACTGTACCTAGTAAAGGCTACCGTTTTGGGCAAATGATTCATTTAATAAATGTATAACTCATACCTGTGAGTTCTTTTTTAAATAATTTACATGGATATTCATCCACATTTGTTACCCTGGACCACAAAACCAGTCATAAGGGTCAGTTTTTCGAAATTGAGATTTATACATCATCTGAAAGCTGAATAAATAAGCTTTCCATTGATGTATGGTTTATTAGGAGGACAATATTTGGCTGAGATACAGCTATTTGAAAATCTGGAATCTGAAATATTGAGAAAATCATCTTTAAAGTTGTCCAAATTAAGTTTTTAGCAATGCATATTACTAATCAAAAATTAAGTTTTGATATATGTATATTTATATATATCTTTACTTAATATCCTAATGATTTTTGGCATAAAAGAAAAATCAATAATTTCCAGGGTCACATTTATGAGCATTTATAGCCTACATGTATGGATGATGTTACATAAGGCAGAGTTGCTCATGATGACAAGTGAATCTTCTATCTGACCCTCCATAGACAGCAACACAACTGAAATGTTCACAGGTCCAGAAACTTAGCAAAGACATCTGTAAAATAGTCCATGTGACATCAGGGGTTCAACCGTACATTTCTGAACCTGGGAACATTTCAGTTGTGTTGCTGTCTATGGAGGGTCAGAGAGCTCTTGGATTGAATCAAAAATATCTTAATTTCTTACGGGTTTGGAACGACATGAGAATGAGTAATTAATGACAGAATTTTCATTTTTGCGTCAACTAACCCTTTAACCCAGACGAATGAGTGTGTGGCTTACAGTGACATTACGACTGAACGCTGTGTGTGATTTCAGGTCAGATGCCATACTGGCAGATATTCCTGTACTTCCTGATTTCTCTGCTGCTGTGCTTCCTGCTGGTGCTGCTGAACTTCTGCTTTTACAAGATGTTCACGCTCCTCAAGAACACCTTCTGCCCAGCCATTCAACTCCCGGATCACATTCAGGAGGTACAGAATATTTATACTCTGTTACCTGCTCCAAAAGGATATATATCATAAGGTTTTAAATACATTTGATGCATCTCAGGTCAATTTATACATTTTAGTAGTTATGCGTAGATGAACTGTTTATCAAATACATTTATCAGCTGTCTTCAGGAATAAAGACAGAAGATGGTGTAGAGAGCTGTTCTGAATGAATCATATATTTTACTTGTACAGTAAGATGTATGGTCTCCTGACTCATTATTGCTGCATATAGTAGGATTAGGGTTAGTTTCCTCTATCTTAAGTTATTTCTCATCTAGCTCTTTGTCTCAGCTGGTTCTCTTTATTTTTTGCTTTAATTGGGTGCTCCTGGCCCTTCTAGTCATATATCAAAAGATTACACTCACTATAAAATGCAGTTAAGTGCATTTTTATCAAACACATTTATTTATATAGCACACATTGGCTTTGCATACCAGGAACTAACACATTCATATAATTTAGCAGGGATGCACGATATTATCGGACCGAAATAGGAATCGGACGATAATAGCGTAAAATGTAAATATCGGAATTGGCCCGATATGAAAAATTATGCGTCTTGTGTCTTGCCGATAAGAGGATTAACTCGCATGTGCTCGGGGTGTCCTAGCGATTAGATCACATCAGCAGTGTGGTCATTCTTGAAGCAAACTTTTGCCTTGATTAGATTCAGATAGTTTTGGATCGCTGCATTTAATTTGAGAATACATTTACAAGATGATGCGTTCGGTGTGTGATACAGTCACTAGCAGCAGCGGCAGCCTCCTCCGGGTCCTAATACACCCATCCAGTAAAGCGTTGTATTTACATAGGGGGGGGGGCTGTTGGCCTACTTGTAACAAAATATAAGTAAAATACACAAATATCACTAAGAATCTTGTTTCTGAATAAATAAAGCGTTATGTCATAAAATCATGAGTATGTTTTAATGCAAAGGTCAGAAGCTATAGCTTACATGATTACAAAAAATCACAAACATGACACTTGTAAATTAAATCATTTTATATATACAGATTTATTCATTAATGTGTAATATGTTTTTTTTTTTTTTAAATGAATCATGAGCTCTAAAAGATTCACAATTTTTACAACTCTTGCCTTAGACCATCTACAAATGTTAAATCTAAAAATAATATTTTAAGGTTACCACTGCATCTTTCTGAAAAAAAAAAAAATTAGCAGCGATTGATATATAGCTGATTTATAATTATTTTCAAAGCTTTCAATGTACTGTCATTATAAAATAACTTAATTATTATTTAATTCTAATAAATTAAAAATAATTATATTTAAAATTTCCGCACAGGACAGACTTGGTGTTGTTTCCAAACAAAAAGAAATATCACGGTATCGGCTATCGACCAAAATGAGTTGAAAAATATCGGCAAAAATCCAATATTGTGCATCCGTACAATCTAGGATTATAAAATCAAGTATAAAATAAATACAAAATTATACAAAATTAAGTGGAGTTAAATGCAAGTGAAAAATGTGAGTCTTTAAATGAGATTTAAATGCATCAAGAGAGGCACAAGATCTAATGTGAAGAGTTAAGCTGTTCCATAAGCGAGGAGCTGCAACAGAGGAGGCCTTTTGATTTTAACCGAGATTTGGGAACATTTAACTGAAACCTTTGTACAGATCTTAATGGCCTAGACCAGTGAATCTCAACCTTTTGGCATACCGGACCCCAGTGCAATTCAGAACCATCCTCAAGGACCCCCAGAACAAAATTGACTCATCTATGTATCATTTGTATCTTTGTGAGGACCAAATGCAGTCAAGTATAATTCAAGTTAGTTGACTTGTCCAGTATTTGGCCATATCATCAGCTATATTGGATTTTTCTTTCATGGGAACAGGAGTCATGTCAAAATATACAACATTTATACAAAAATTCATACTTTATATGGACCCCCTGGCCTTACGTCAAGGTCCACGGACCCCTGGTTGAGAAACACTGGCCTAGAGGACATGTGTAACTGAAGAAGTTGGGTGCCAACCCATTTAAACCCTTAAAAAATAAATAACTTCTTATATTTGATTCTGAATTTGACTGGAAGCCAGTGGAGTGATGTTAATACAGGTGATATATTTGCATATTTCTTCGTCTCAGTCAAAAGCCTAGCATCAACATTTTGAACCAACTGCAGGCGTGAAAGTGAGGCATGAGAAACACTGTATTACAATGAGTAACAATAGTCCAGTCTGGATGGAATAAAAACATGCATAACAACTTCCAAATTATTAAAAGACATTTCTGAATTGAAGGAAGCTACTTCTAACCACATGGTTTATATACTTATCAAACTCAGCATCAAAAATAACACCAAGACTCTTTGCTTGATTGTGTACCTTGGATTTAAAGAGGCCCAGTGGTTCTTAATCCTGGATGCCTCTCTCTGCACATTGTGTGTCTCCCTGATGTAACACATCTGATTCAGATCATTGGCTCATTATTCAGGTGAAGAAAACTGGCTGCCATCCACTCCATAATATCATTAAAACCAGTGGCGTACCGTGGGGTTTCAGTCAGGGCCTTCAGTAAGCAACTGTAAACTACATACACGCATCTTACACATCTCTGTTACAGCTAATGAAGCCATATGCATATAATGCGCATATTAAGCCACACACAGGCTCTCAACAACAATGACAGCTGATCAACAATTTCAACAATAGGCTAGATTAGGGTGGGTTGAATGCAGAGTAAATTTCCCTACATGGATCAGTAAAAGTAATCCACCAATACACGGGTCACTATGCACATTCACGTCACTCTAAAATGACGACGCACCCACAGCAGCACTATCAACGCACCTCGTACACCTCCATAACAATGTGCATGATACAATACTCGTCAAATAATAAAGCACTCACCTGTCACTTGTGAATAAAGTCCATGCGTCTGTCATTCCATGTCCCTTTACTCGTATTAAAAAGTAAACACGGCCAACAAAATAACTTGTTGTGCTCGGTGCTAGCTGTTAGCCACTCATAGCACTCATAGTTGCAATCTTTGAAATGGCGCACAAAACCTTTGTTAGCGAATTCAGTTTGGGTGTAGGTCTTCCTTTCTCAGTTATTTATCTTTTGTCTGCAAAAGAGCACCTTGAAAAAGGCGTTTTTAGTAGATCGGCAACTAGATCTGGTGTAGAGGCGCCGGTGACTGCGGCTGTCTGTTTCTTTTCGTTGAATTTCACTTTCATACCTTGGAAATTCCCGACTATCGCTGGGGGTAGCACTGGGCATGTCGCTAGACATCTTTCAACAAAAGGGTAGTACTCTCTGTAGTGCTGGCCGCAGACTTTTTTTATGTAGGATATTCCAGTTCAACCTCAACAAAACTAATCATAGGCAATTTTGTGGACATTACACACATGAAAATGACACATAAATAATCAATAAAAGCATTTTTTAAACAATTTTATTTTTTATAGGGCCAGCAGAGAAGGCCCTGCTGACCCTGACGGCCCACCACTGATCAAAACAACTAAAGAGTCCCCCACCTTTAAAGGGAGGAAAAGCTGAGTGTCATCAGCATAGAGATGGTAATATACATTGCTTCTGACAAATATCAGCCAGAGGAAGTATATAGATGTTAAATGATACTGGACCCAAAATAGATCCTTGAGGGACCCCACATTTCGTTATAACAAAGAAGATGAACATTTCCTAATTTTATAGAAAAAGTTCTCCCAGGAATATATGTAAATAAGACTGTGCAGGAATCCAAGGAAATGCTCTTAAGTCCTATTCAGACGGGACTAGTTTTACAGGGTGTCGTTAGAGAAATTTGTGTTTCACAGATACTTTGCGATTTTAATCCCATCCGAATCTGCCAAATCTGTGTTTTTCCCACACAACATCTGTAATAATTCCAGAGCAAATTACCTACGGTTTTTCAGCAAACTCAGTGATCCTCTTGAGAAAACTAATCCCGTCCGAATGTGAATGTCTGTGATTGCGAAAATATTTTTTTCACAACGCATTTCTCTTACTACTGCACAGATTTTTGTCTCCCGGCAAAGAAATTATAAAATAATAATTAAATCAAGAGCCAGATCATGTAAACTTTTAAGTAATATCAGCGTCAGGTAAGATTACTCACCTTCATTTCTGCACTCAATTACATAAAGGTACATACGTAATGTTAATTAAAACATTATGTAAATTAAACATGGTTTTACTACAAATAAATAAAAAAATAAAATAGTTAAACTAAAGTAACCACACATTAAGAATGGTTTTGCTATACTAGCCATATAGCTTCACCATGGTATTTGTATTAAAACTGTGGTCATACTATGGTAATCAATCCAAATGACTATACGCAATGCATGCATACATTGTCCGAATTGGTACATGAAAATCACAGATGTCGGATGACAAGAATCAAAACTCATACATAGTTTAGAAAACTAGTCCCGTCCGAATAGGGCTTTAAACATACCAAATAAATATTGTGTGCTGTAGTGTCAAATGCTGCTGTCAGATCAATTAAAACCAAAATTACACACTTTCCTGAATCGGTGGCCAGGAACAGGTCATTAGACACTTGGAGAAAGGCTGATTCTGTACGGAGTTGGGCGCTGTGTAGGCTTCATATAGAGCCAACCCCTCCACCTCTACCCGATGGTGGTTAAAGAGTTTTCAGATAAATAGTCCAGATCGCCAGCATTGAGCCAAGTCTCTGTCATGAACAAAAAGTCCAGCTCCCAAGAGGAGATAGAATTTTTTGATAAAAAGGTCTTATTTGAGATGGACCTAGCATTTAAGCGTTTATCAAATTGTTAACTGTAGATAAAGATGAGGAGGTGGTAATAAACAGTCTTTGATGTGGAACAAACTCCAGTGCTTGAAGATGATAAACATTTGCTCCACCTCCACGAAACCTCCTGCTCCCTGTTCTGCAATGAGACGTCGTCTCCGGATGCTCCAGAAAAACACAGTGTAGAGAAGAAAACCTTACACAAAGAATACCGTAGACCGAATGATACGCCCTGGCTAATGCCATCCACAGCTGATTATTCTGATAAAATCTGACAAAGACTGCAGCTGATTCTTTGAGTCTCACAAGAGCACTGCCTCTCTTCCCCCGATTCCTGTGCCATGTTAGCCGGTAGATGAGCCAAGAATGCAGATTCCAACCGCACACATTCACGGCAACGAGGTTCTGAATACTAAGCAAGTACTCTTTCTACAGATAGACAAAAGAGTAATAAAAGGACAAACACAAACACCAGGTGACGACTTGCCGATAGACACACTGGTGCCATCTTGCACATTTTTTTTTTTTTACTAGGGCTGCCTACTAATAGTCGACCAAATGTTAGTTAAGAAGAGGGTTAGTCGACCAAAACAGTATTAGTAATAGTATTAGTTCAGCATTCAACACAATTCACACATATAGTTTGTCTCATCTCTGTTGCTAATGAGACCCACTACAGTCGTGTCATC